TATACAATATACTTAATTACAAAGGAGAAACAAGTGGTTATATATATATATATATATATATATGATGTAATTGTTTATTTTTTTTTATAATCAATTATATTATTTTTCTAGAAAAGTGGTAATATAATCGATTACTTCTTTTTTATAATCAATTATATTGCATTTAGATTTGCATGATAATAAATTTAATTTCCTAGGCAAAGGCAAAACCATATTTTGTCTATTTTCATTGGATTTTATTTTTGGTGGAAGTGCATACCAAACAAATCCTAAATAATGTTTATAATCTAAATAGTTTAGAAGGAATTTTTTTATTTGAAAATAAAAATTTTTAAATTTGAATTGTATGACATACAAGTTAAGAGATTAAAGAAAGTTATTTTTCATCGTGGAATTCAAGATTAAAAAAAAAAAAAAAGAAGCAAACAAACAAACCCCAAATGATTGGTCTATATAATAAGAGATATAAAATGTAAACACCGAAGATTTGAAGCTTAGAATTTCATGCCATTAAAAAGGCGGGTTTAAAAAAATGTGCTCTACAGTCTATTGATAACAAAATGGAGGTAGACTAATTTTAATTGAACATTAAGCCTATTTTATTATTTGAACTCACTACAAAATTTTACAACAATTATGTTGTATAAGTTAACATATATTAATTCATGTGTTATACTAAATAAAAAAGAGACAATTATAATAATTTTTGTAAATTAAAATTAAAAAGCTTTTTTTTTTTTATCAAAGTTGCAAAACATTTTTGAGATAAGATGGTATGTGAAGCTAAATAATATTTTTATGAAATTTAAACTTAAACAAAATTAATAAAAAATGTCATATTTTGTAATGATTTAAATAATATAAAATATAAAATAACTTGGCTCGAAGTGACCTCCAGTCACATTGTAATGCACTCTCCCTCCTCTCCCCTTAGACAGGTTGGAGCCTGTCTTTTGACACATTATTTAAAATATATATATATATATATAAAATATAAAATAAAAACTAATAGATAGACTTGACTTTATTATTACGGTCTTGCCCCAATTTATAATTATTGTTGAAAGATTAGGAGACTAGGCCAACCAAAACAAAATTATGAAAAGGGACATCCTGTCCATGCATGGAGAGGAGCTGGGAAAAATCAATGAATGGCATTTAAGAGCCAAGACTAGATGGTAAGGTACATCTTGAGCAACAAGGAACAATTGGCTCCCTTTCGCTTTCATTAGTTAGATTCTTGGTTCCATTGGACCATTTCAATGCTATATTCTTTTCTCCTCTCGAATGCTCCAATTTTCATCGTTTCCTACTTAGACCTCAAGCGAGAAAACGGAGGAATCACCTACCTCTAACCATGAAACCCCAAGGCGAACAGAGACCAAAACAGAGAATCTGCGATTACTGCAATGAATCCACGGCCATTCTATTCTGTAGAGCTGACACGGCCAGGCTTTGTTTTTCATGCGACAGACAGGTCCACTCGACGAACCAACTCTTCACCAAGCACTCACGGTGGCAGCTCTGCGATTCCTGCAGTGAGTTCCCTGCTTCCATCTTCTGCGAAACAGAGCACTCTGTTTTGTGCCAGAATTGTGACTGGGAAACCCATAATTTATCGGTGTCATCGGCTCACCATCGCCGGCCAATCGAGGGTTTCACTGGGTGTCCGTCAGTGAGTGAGTTTGCGAATATTTTTGGGTTCAATGATTTGGGAGATAAAGCCCAGTTCTTGGGTGAGGGGAAGAGTGTTTGTGGAGATGTTGGTCTTGATGGATTGTTGTATTCGTTCATTTGGGAGACTCCGGCGATTGCTAGCCTTGATGAGTTGATTGTTGCAAGTGATAGAAATCATGGGTTTAATGCTTTGGATGTTCCGTCCGTGCCCAAGGCAAGTTTCCAATTTCTCCCTTCTTTTTTCTCTTCGTAGACTCTATTTCGAGTCAAAATGAAAATAGAATTCATTTCATCTCTAAACGAGTGCTCATGTTTCTAACATTTTAGATTCATTATGTTGTGTTTGAGATCGAAAATGAAAGTGGAATTCATTTCGTTTCGTAAATAACCTTGCATTAAAATTCAGAATCGGAATGCTTCATGTGGACAACACAAGGAGGAAATACTTCGGCAGCTTCGAGAATTGGCAAAGTCAGAACCCAACTTAAGTCATCATAATCTGCATCCAGGAAATTCTGAAACAATTTTATTTCCAGGTTATGAGGTATATACATCTCCTTTTGATTTTCATCTAGTTTTTGAAGCAATTCCTTCTGCTTCCTCATTGACAATTCCGCATGTTCTATATGTTTCTCCTCTTGGACAGTCAAGTGAAGTTAAGGGGTTTGCTGATGGTGTGGAGGGAGCAAATCAAAATTTTGTTCCTTCGGTATTTAGAACCTACGTTGAGGGAAATACAAAAGTTCCTCATAAACATCTGGATACTGCTGGCGCAATGAGTCAGGAGACTAACCGTGAAGGTCTAGAAGAAAACTCAAAAAATCCCATTGCTGCACCAAGCTTACCAGTTTTTCCAAAGATAGCTGCACATGAACTAAACAGTCAAGAGAGAGACACTGCAATCTCACGCTACAAGGAGAAGAAGAGAACAAGGAGGTATTGCTCTAATACCCTGAGGTCTTTAATTAGTGTGTGTTTAAGTTAAATAAAAAAATGGTAATCTGGGTTTGCTCCTAATACTATCAGATTCAGGTTCAAGTCCAGAATCCTGATTTTTAGATAAAATGCGTAGTTTGAGTTGATTTTGAGATCGTTTAATCAAGGGTAACTTTGATACCATATCATGATCAAAATTCAAAACAAAACGTTACCTAAAACTTGAACTATTAGGTGAAGGTCCAAGAATTAGGGCATGTATAAGTGGCAATTGTTTCTATGGAAAACAACAGGTATGAAAAGCACGTAAGGTATGAATCAAGGAAGGTTCGAGCAGAAGCCAGGAAAAGAATCAAGGGACGTTTTGCAAAAGTAGAGCATTGAGAGAGATACTGCTAAAAGATCAATATGATATATACTAGAATGTCTGTAGAATTTGCA